ATATAAGTAGAAAAATTTTAAATATTCAAAAATTTACTACAGGGTATATTTATAATTGGAATATATGTATATATATGTGTGTGTGTGTAATTTAAGTGAGAAAAAATTAAAAAGTCATAAAATTAAGTCAAAACATAAAATCAGTACTTTTCAGAATAAGAAATATGCAAGAAGAAAATATCTTCAAAGTACAGATACATAAAGTCTTAAGGAAAGGAAAGCCAGGTGGAACCCTGGCATCTGGGTGTAGTCAAAGATGCAGTGAAATAAGTACCTGCTATCCTCAGACGAGGAGGAAAAAGGCCTTAGTGAAAATCAGACAAAAATGAGATTTCCACACAATCTTCACCAGTCATCTTCCACGTAATCTAGACAGTCATCAGATTCTATTATTAGGTCTAGAACTGTATGCCAGGTGTTCAGGCTAGGGAGGGGCCCAAGAAAGCCGTGAGAGAAAGATCAACAGTCTACTAATCCAAGGAACAGTCTCTAGTTTGGAAGACTATACCTGTGTTTTTGTGGATATCTTTTTCTTTTTCTTTCTTCTCTATTACTTTTTTAAGGCAGGGTCTAACTCTGTAGCCCAGAATAGCCTGAAACTGTGATGTTCCTGCGTCTGCCTCCCCTGTAGGAGGTTTACATGTGTGAGCCACTCTGCCTAGCTCGCCTCATTGATTTCTGTTGATCTGTTACCTGATTCTGAAAGCTGGGGCTCAGGTTAACCTGTTAGCTTCTGAGGCTCAAACAAGGCAACGTGAAGAGTAGGTTTCCAATGCCAGCCTCTTGGTGGGTGACTACTCTTGTCAGACACTGTCCCAGCATCGCTTAGCATGTTCTTTCCTTATCTAGAGGACCTTATGGGGCCCAGAGTTGTGCAAGACACAGGCTTCCTTGTCCTGAGACATGCAACAAACCCGCCAGCAGAAATAGGGTTCCAGTTTGCTAACTTAGCAAAATTTCTTCATTGTGAATTTGTGCTTTTTTGAAATGATTTATGACTTGAGAATCAGACCTCTCAGGTACCTATTGACCAGGTCTATCATGTCTTTACCAATTTCGTAAGAGACAAAATTGTATGAGAGAAGTTGGAGAGTTGGGGGCAGGACGTGGAGATATTTCTTCTCTGACTCAGAAGCCAATGTTAAACTTGGGTCCCTTGTTGAATGTCTGCCAAGTTGGAGCTAGACCCAGCCTCCTAGTCCCTGAGGCAGGGGCTAGGAAAGAGACCCCAGATTCCCTCCTGGGTGGAGAGGATACAGATTCCAGGTACCCAGGAGAAATCTCTTGGTCTGGGGACTAACCCAACATCTCCAAAAGCCCAAATCTAGGTATCTCTGGGATAGATGTGGGTTCCTGGAACACAGCTGGGATTCTGCCCACTACCACCCCTCCAGAAGACTGGTTTCCAAGTGGTGTTGGGATGTTGGTCTTGTGGTGCTATCTCAAGCATGCAGAGTCAAAGCAATACTGTAAAACAACCCTAGAACATTTGATTGACCCACATACTTGGGGTCTGGAAGACCCCAACATTCCCCTAACGTGGAATGATCACAAATGGAAAAGCCTTGGTGAGAATTCCCTCTGAATAAAGAAGGGAGGAGAAGCTTAAGGGGATCCAGCATGTAGTTCTTAAGAAATTGTCTTCTCATCTTTCAAAGTCATGTAGAAGAGAGTGAATAATAATGTCTAAGGACGGAGAAGAAATGAATTGTATGTCTTCCACGGGTGCCAAGCTGGCCACCTTCAGGCTAGACATGGTCACATTCCCTCATCTTCAACAGCTTCATTTGAGTCCTTTTGTTCTTCTAAACCCAGCTCCAAGTTGTCCAAAGGCCCAGACTCATGCCTCATAGACTCTTTGTAAACTATGACAGAGGTGATTATAAATTATTCAAAAATCATCCAGAAAGTTATGGGCAGAAATGATACCTTCATCAGAAAGCAGCTCTCCACTATTGCCACCACACTTTTCTTCCTTCTGGAGTAGATAGTCGACCTGCTGTGCTTGACCAATGCCAGGATCCATTTGCATATCACCTCTGAGGAAGCCCGCGCCCCACACCTGCTCCAGCCTTCTTCACACAGTAACACTTGCTCTCCACACTCATATACAAGTGTGGCTAGTGTGTTCTAAGCGTGAACTAAGAAAGGCTCAGGCAGTCCTGGTGTCCCTGCTGTGTCCCTTAGTCAAACGGTGTCAATCAAGGTGAGTCCAGGTTTTCTCAACTCCAAACCCACAGGTTTTTCTACCACTGCCTCTCCCAAAACTCAGGAAGACTTTAGAAAGTCAAGAAAAGCCTCTGACATCTTATTCAATCTCAAACACATTTTATTATGATGGAAAATGCACCTTATCGGTTAAAGAAATGATTTTTTTTTATTAATCACCAGGTACGTATAACAGTCCCATGGACTATTTCAAGACATAAGACTTACTTTACAAAGATATGATCGAGAAATAGTAACACATCAAAAATAGGACTCACTTCTCATTGGATGTCTTATCAGTATTGGTAACGGTGTTCGTCTCTGCTGGTGGCAGAAATGATAGATCTTCCTTGAAGCTCATAGCCAATGTTCTTGGAAGTGGAAGAGGAAAGGGTTTTCTCTCCCCAGCGCCATTATGCCAAAGAGAAACCTCACAGATGGCCACAGGCAGAGTTCTAGAATGCTTTTGGAAAGGAACAGTAGCAGAGTCACTTTAATTTCCTGAACTCTGAAAAGCCACATCCCGCCCCAAATTCTCACTCATCTTTCACATTCTAAGATAAGTAAACTTAGACAGCTTCAGCTTCCAGGCTCACATGCTCAGAGCACTGGAAGGCTTAGAACGTCCAGGATTTTTCCTGACGGTTCCAAGCAGCAGCTGCCACTACTCAGGCTGTTAGCTATCCATGATGACTCTGGCAATCCTCAAGGGTTGGAGGTTTTTTTAAACTTTGTAAAACCAGGTCCTTCCTGCCTGAGGAACTCCAGCAGCCAGGCCCCTCCCCCAGACCTCTCTGTCATCTCTGGCCGCTGTAACTATTACAAAGGTCATTTCCAGCTCCTCAATAGGACTCTTCCCAGATTATGCTAATTTAGGTGAAAAGTCTGATCAAAAAAGCCATCAATCCCCGAGCTTCTCACAGAAATTTACCAATCCCAGAGCTTGAAAACCCACCAATGTCTGAACAAGAAAACTCAGCAATCTATGAGCCTTCCAAGCTCAGGACTTGAAATTCTCACCCTGGAAATCTCTGACATAGAAAACTCCACCCCTTAAGAAATCCTATACAAAGGTTGCGTCTGCTCAGTTCCCTGCTGCCTTCTCCTAGGAACAGGGGCAGCAACCCTGGATTTGTCCCTCCACACCGTGGATTCTCCTAACAAATCTCTTTTATGAGATTTGCTGCCTGTTGTGACTCTCTCATCAGAAGAAGCCAAGAAGCAATGAAAAGAGGCAAATAAGTGGAGCAAGGCTGAGGCTCCTGAGTGTCTCAGCTCAGCTGGGGCTAGCCTCCTCTGGAAGCTGCAATGCCTCTGCTGAGGAGGCTTCCTCTCAGAGATGTGTGGTTCCTGGGACTCCCAGGACACTTTTCCATGCAAGCAGGAAGGCCAACACTGGCTCTGCCAGTGTTTTTATAACCATCAGGACAGCCTGTCCCCCAGGACTATAGTGAGGACAGGACCAGAAATAGAACATGACACCCAAAAGAGAGTTGTTCCCTTGTAGAAAATCTATCAAGAAAACAAAACAACAGCAACAAAACAATGTGGAGGGTTGGATACTGATGGCAGATGAGGACCTAATGGGAGAACGAGCTGCTGCCTCTGCCAGGGCACTTGTTGGTATCCAGGCCTGTTCCAGCTGAGGTATGGAGGATTCTAGAAGGCTTAGCATGGTGGGTGGCATGTGTGAAGGGTGGAATTCATGAACAGTTGATGAGAGAATGGGCAGGCAGAGGAGATGTGATATGGTTTGGCTTGATGGAGCAGAGATTTGAGGGTGGAATGGAACCCTCAAGGAGATTTCAGGGAGGAAAACAGGTGACAAAAGACAGCACTGAAGCTGAAGAGTTGAGCTCTACAGATCTTTGCTCAATGGCAGGAGACAGGGCTCCTTCCCCACACCCTTTCCAATGTTGTGTTTTGGCGCACTTTTCAATGCATTCTTCCAGTTAGACCAACCATTGCTATCTCCTTGCTTTGCTTCATATGCCTTAACTGCATGAGTGTAAGATGGTGCGGTCTCTTAAGAGAATTATTTGACCATGAGATCATTTCAAAACTGAAAATGTTCCTTACTCTAACCTAGTGGTGCCACAGATAGAAACACACCCACATGGCACAGTCTTAAGGCTGTGACACAAACTGGGGGCAACGTGAGCTGGCCTCTGGGAGCCTGTTGAAGAAATGAGTGGGGGGACCTGTGCATGTGACCTGAGTACATGTAAGATAATTAAAAGCAAAGTAACACAAGCATATGGACGTATGTATGAGAAAACGTTTTCTGCACCGACACACCTAGAAACTTTAATTAAGCTTATTGAGTTCAAGCACTCATTTATAGACCTATGCTGTATAGTTCCCCTCATGGTGTTTGCATTTTTTTCTGAATTGCGTATTTATATCTGGTGTCCAAAGAGACATATGAGGCAAAGGAGGCTAAGTAAGATGGAGCAATGAGAATCCAGGAGGGGGTATGAAGGAGGTCCATGACCCCATTCTGCACGGTCTGGGGACATCTCCACAGGTCACACTTAGGACAACAGTATGTTATTGAAATGTGTTTAATGGTGGTGGCTGTGAAGAACTAACCTTCATCCGGCAGGGTCTCAGGAAAGAAGAGCATAGGCAGTGACTGTCTGTGCTGGCCTCTGAAAGCTGTTACATGTTTGTGGAAGTCTTGGGATTTCCAGAATGCCCTGTCCCCTCACATCCTCTAGAAGCCCTATCTCCTGTATTTATGTTCATGTCTTGGGATAGTTGGTCACACTATGTTTTTTCTGCATTAACAGGAGACACCAAGGCTTTGACAGGACCATGCTGCAGAAGTGGCAGGTACAGTTGTTTGCTGCTGGTGTTGGGGTGCCAGGCAGGATGTAAGGAAGTTAGACCCAGCAGAAGGAAGTGTGGCACATCCTCAAGAAGGAAGTCTAGGTTTTATAATTTGCTCTGACAAGATCTTAAGGGTGGAAGATTTGTCTTTGAGCACTGGCATAGGAAATGGAGGATGAGTGGAGCCTCTTTGTGTACTCATCCTCCAGTCCCTGAGGGTGTGCACACAGAGAGCCCCGAGAGAATTAAACAAATACACACCGACAGGGAAAAAGCCTTTCCCAGAGCATCAGAGGGAGGGTGGTGAGGGCTCCTTTCTCAGTGACTACTCTCTTTCAGCTCATTTTTCTAACAGTGAAAGGGTCAGCAAGGAGCTCACTCCCAACATCTGTGCTAACATACAATCAGCATTTGAGTGTCACTCTTGAGGGTTAAGATCAAAGAAAGCTGTGCCCTTCACTTTGGATTGCTGCTCTACTTCTTCTTTGGCCAACATAGCTTCCAAGATATGCTTCCTCCTTGGTGGCGGTAGCATTGGTGATGGCTCCTGCACAAAATGTGGACAAATAGCTTAGGTGCCACCTGCTTGTTCTTGTCCTGCAGTCTAGTTACCCTGGAGGACTGAGGGTTAGGTCTTCATAGACTCAGAAGGGTATCAGGTGTATTTAGCTTGTCTCTTTGTGTCTCTTCTGGCAGAAAAGGGAGATCAGCAATTTCGAATACCTCATGTACCTCAATACCCTGGCTGGAAGGACCTACAATGACTACATGCAGTATCCTGTGTTTCCCTGGGTCCTTGCTGACTACACCTCAGAGGTAAGGTGTTCCCCAGGACATGCCACAGGGTTTCTAAGGATCTGTCCCTAGCATGAGACACAGATCCTTGCTGTGAGGTTCAGCTCCCTGGGCCTAAAGCTGCTTGGTTCTCCCAAAGACATGGCAGTCTTTACCTGGTTCCTACCCCAGATCTACCAGTGGACGGATCAGTACACCTGTGGTTATGTCAGTCAACATGTGGCTGACAGGAGCCTCTGAGGGTTCCCTGTCACCCTGAAGGAAACTGTTGCCCATCTGCTGAAATGCTGCTGAGGTTCAGCTGGGTCATGGAGTAGGTCTGGACCCTGATGCTATGGTTATCAGGGGATTGTTGAGCAGGGTGTAAGCACAAGTTCATGAGTTCATGGGTCAGAACGTGTAAGCCAAGGCCTTACAAATATGAGCCTTCAAAATCGAAGGATCAACACACGCTTGCAAAGTGGCGGTTACTATATAAACGTTCCTGTTTAACACACACCTTGTATTTAAAATTGTGGTTACTTTCTTGTATAAAAATTGGGAGATTTGGAGGGGGGAGCGTGGAGATAGCTCAGTGGATTAGAGCACTTTCTGCATAAGCTTGAGTGTCTGAGTTTGGATCCTTAGTACCCAGTTACAAAACAGCATGGCAATATATCCTATAATTGTAGTATTAGGGGCAGAGATGGGAATCCCAGGAACCTGTTAGCTAGCCAGCTTTGCCAAAGCAGTGAGCTTTTAGCCCATCGAAGACCCTACCTCTACCCTCCACCTGCACATACGATGGCACGGGCACCTGAACACTTGCATGCCTGTACCACATACATGCAACCATCCCAACTCCCCAACTCCTCACACACACGATGGGGAGAATTCTCCTGAACATCTGGGAATTGTGGGGAAATGAGAAGCTTTGGCAGCTATTATCCATCCTGACCTGACAGGAGCATCAGAAGCTGAGACGGTGTTGTTACAAGCTTCTCCATCCCCTGGAAACTCAGGAGGACTACATCCCTTTGGTCTTGGACTACTTTCTGCCAGCCTTTGAGGTGGTGACAGCACTGACCCCTGATCAAGAGGCTGTGACTCAGGGCTAGTGAAAAGAGAGCTTTATGAAGAAACAACCCCTCATAGTGATGCAAGCCCCACGGACAGTCAGTGTGCCTCTGCCACCCCCCAACACACTGAGCACATCTCTGAAGTGCTCCCAATCCCCACGAAGTGAATTCTCAAGGTCAGGAGCAGGACTAGCGTTATGTCTTAATTGTCCAAAAGATAGTGGACTCGGAAAAAAATGAGCATTTTCTTCTCACCCCCTGCCATCCCAAATAAATGATTTCTCAAAGCAGGCCCTTGAACTAGTGCAGTGAATTATTTAGTAAGAGTAGAGCAACGGTTAAAAGTCATATAGGCAATGGGAATTCTTTTGGAAGTCCCTTTTCAGTGCCTGGTGGTCATGTACTGATTTGGGTCAACTTGGAACAGGCCCAGCTTGAACTCAATCTTCCCTCCTCTTACTTCTCATCTCTCCCCTATTAAGTCTTTGTGGATCACTGGCTTCAGGGCCATAAAACTCCTGGTAGCCAGCTAATCACGACAGGGGTTCAGACCAAATGACAATAAACCAATAAAGGGAGCTATAAAACTAAAGAGCGTGGCTCTTGGGGCACCAAGGGTCTGGGGGAGTTAACTCAGCTGCACATCTGCCTTCTAGACATTGAACTTGACAAACCCCAAGACTTTCCGGGATCTTTCAAAGCCGATGGGAGCTCAAACCAAGGAAAGGAAGTTGAAATTTACCCAGAGGTTTAAAGATGTTGAAAAGATTGAAGGTGGGTACATACCTACTTGATGTTTTTTATTACTAATTAATCCCACTTGATATTTGACTGATGTGTGTGCGTGTGTGTGTGTGTGTGTGCATGTGTGTGCGTGCACACATTCCCATACCAATCCACAGAAGTGTGTGCAGTGCCGTTCTCAACTTCTTAAAAAAAAATAAGTAATGACCTAGTTGGTCACCCAGTCTACCAATGATTGTGCTTAAAGAATTCCCAAATCCAGCAGTCGGCATTGTGATTGGCATGAGAGTGCCGCCTGGAAGACCTAGTCAGCAGTACTAAAGCCCAGGTGTCACCTTTACAAATTAACTAAGGGAGCGATGGCTCACCCGTTAAGAGTACATCCTGCTCTTGCCAGTTTGGTTCCCAAACACCCCCCATAGCTATTTATAACTATCTGTAACTCCAGATCCATGGTATATAATGTCCTGGTCTCTGTGGACATTTATGTGGTTCACTTAAATGAAGGCAAAACACTCATAGGTATCTTAAAGAAATCTTAAAAAAAAAAAAATCTGTGGTAAGGCACACCCTGGGTGATTTTAATGGCCATCCTGGATGGAAACGAGTATGCTGAGAGGGGCCACTTCTTATCTAGCCGTAGGAAGATAGGAGGAGGTGAACTCTAGTGTTTCTGTATGACGTGGTCCTTTCCAAAGGGCATGGAAAGGAAGCTGAGTTTAAGCAGCTTAACCTTTAAGCTATACAGTCTACCTTTGACTTGCTTTAGAACTCAGGCCTCAAACTTTGCACATCACACTTGTTGCCATATTTGTATGCCATCTGATCTATTAGTGCCTTGATGTTTTTCTTTATGTCTACTTGCTTCCTGGAGTTTTAAAATACTATTCTCAAGCACAGGGAAGCCTGTCTGCTGCCTTCTCGGTGTGTGTGTGTGTGTGTGTGTGTGTGTGTGTGTGTGTGTGCGCGCGCGCGCGCACGCGTGCAGCAGCAGCTCTTAAACCTATCCTTTCGTTGTAGGAGACATGACTGTCCAGTGCCACTACTACACTCATTATTCCTCAGCCATCATTGTCGCCTCCTACTTGGTCCGGATCCCGCCCTTCACCCAGGCCTTCTGCTCCTTACAGGTGAGCTGCTGTCATTTCTTCTGAATGTTGGGGCATGCACACACACAAGCCCCAGGACTGGATAAGGAGGGCACCTCCTCTCGCAAAACTCACACCTTAACTTGATGTTGGTGCCTATTACTTGTAGCCAGGCTATTCTTTATCATCAGTACTTGCACATCCACCGGTTCACGTAAAAAAAAAAAAATAGCAGAAAATAAAAATTCCCTGGGAAAATGGGAAAAAGTAATACAATTAAGGTAGAGTGGAAAAGGAAGGAGAGTAGAAACTGTTGAGACTGAAAAGATCACGAGGAAAGAAAAGGGGCAATGAACATAAAAATGTATAGATCTGTGCAAAGTACAACTGAAAGGCTCCAGAGGACAAGTAGATTATTTGAAATAAGAAAGAAATCTAACCCAGGAAAAGAAACTGGTCATCTTATCCATCCATACACTACCAAATCATTGTCTTGTCAGCTGAGGGATGCCAGGTTTCACCAAAAAAAAAAAAAAAAAAAAAAAAAAAAAAAAAAGCAGAGACTTAACTAAGTTTGGGTTCTGGATAAATAGCGACTTCCACTCAAGCAAGAACAAACTGGAAAGTTCTCTGCTGCTTAGCCAAAATGTGTGTTGTTTGATCTGGCAGGCCTGGAGGAGCTGGAGACAAGCCAGTACTAGAGTACTGGATGTGCAGGATTTCTAAGTGAGAGTCCCTTGCGGCCAGCACTGGGACAATGCTGAGATGCTCGTTGTCTCTCTTCTCTATGAAATCCTTCACTGGAATCCTGAACTCAAGAAGCCCGTTCAGAGGCAGAGCTTGAAATGTGAAAATCTATCAGTTATCCCAGCCTGAACCAGCTAGCTGAGCTCACTGCAGAGTGAATGCACTACAGGGCTGAGTTCATGGCTTCTGTGATCACCACCTTACAATGGTGAGAAAGCCATGGGCCCCATGATCAGATGCACCCTGAGCACACATGACCTATCTCTAACAACTGAGCCCTATCTCAGAGAAGTTTCAGTGTCCCAGAAATTGTGAGTTTTGGTCACTCAGAAAACACTGACCCTGAGAGACGAAAGCTGCCCTCGGTTGGCACTAAAAGCTCTCCCAAAGGCAAGGTCGGGCATCTTCTCCAGGAAGGAGTGAACCCCCTCACATCTTTTGTTTCTTGGCACAGATTCCCCTTTCCTTGGCTATGTAGCTTGTCTAGACTTTGTTTAACCCCTTCTCTCTGGAAATTCACTCAAAAATAATAAGTGTGCTTCCCTTGGGTCTCTCTCAGGCAACAAGCATTTTAAGTAAGTTTGGTTTGGAGAATGAATGGTCCCAGAGCTGTATCCCATGCCAGGAATCTCATACAGATGTTGCTCATTAATCCACAAGAAATGATGATCACTGTTGCTGATGATAATGATGGATTTCGCTGCTGCTTCCCAGACAGAGAGCTGAAATAGTCAAATGTTCAGGATGCCTTCCCAGCTCCCCCTTGGCCCTCTCGCTAGATACATTAAAGTCGGGGGTCTCAGCTCTACTTGTTGTTAAGGGTCTTTCCGTAAGGGGAAAAGATGGAGTAGAATAGAGACAGGCCGTGCCATGAGATTTGCAACTCAGCCCTGCCACTTAACAGATAAATATCCCATATGTTATGTTACCTCTGGAAATGAGGGTTGGCTATGCACAGACCACTGGGTCATCCAAAGAGCAAATGAAAAAAGTTGGGGAAAGTTCTTAGTTCTGGTCATCAACCACAATTACTTCTCCTCTTCCCTCTGTGACAAACCGGATTGGATCTGAATAGATTTTAACTTTTTCAAGCAGGTCTCCTCTGGGCTAAACCATGTTAAGGCAGCCTGGACTACAATAAAGTACCTCAAAGCAGAATGAACCAGATTAAACACATCCTGGATTAAACACATCTAAGAATATTTGGATACTGCCTACTCCACCTCTAATCATTAATGTGAGCTTATTTTAGCCTGTTTCCTCCACTAATAACTAGTTCAAGCTGGTTTGGGATGGTCTAACCCAGGGAGAGATGATCAGAGCCGACTTTTTATGCGTCTAGGGGGCACCTGTATTGTTAGTGTGACTCCAATGGGAATCTCAAATGTGGCTTAAGTTTGTCTTTGGCTGACTGGCCATTCAAGTTGGAATCATCTGTGATCTCTGTGTAACTCCTCTGCCCCACACCAATCTGTCTTCCCTTCTGACTTCTCCAGTTGATCATCACTGGCCTAAAGAACCAGCCATCTTCTGCCTTTTCCTAGAACAAAACAGTAACTACAACCATTTTAGTTCTTCTTGAAAAAAAAAAAAAAAGAGTGCAAAGGCTGCATCTGTTGAGGGAGTCCTGGGTTCCACCAGATCTCCTAAGGAATGTTCTGGCATCTTTGTCTGAATTCATCTGCCTCCTAAGGGCAGGCCTGTTTCTTTGCCTGCCCTCCTCCATGGTGACAAGAATTGTCCCTCCTTGTTGTCTCGCCCACCTGAGGGTCTGACTTCTAAGCGAGATGTGGATGGGTTGTGGGGTGGGAGGATGGAGAGGTTCCAGGATACCCGCAGTGAGGCCTTGAGCATTTGCAGGAGACTGCAGCCAGTGTCTTCTGAGTGTTAGCATGCTCCCCATTCTGAGCCGAGCAGTCTCTGCCGTTCACCTGCCAATGTGAGTCGGTGTGTGAGTGAGGACGTGTGTGCTTCCAGCTGGGGCCTTAGGGCCCACGTCCTGGGTTCTGCCATCTGATGTTGAGTAGATTATTTCCTTTCTCTGGAATTTGCTTTTCTTATTCAGGAGATAAAGATGGGGGTGAGATGCACAGAAGTCGGTGGTAAGAAGTACTGGAGTGAAATGCCAGGCACCATTGCTACCACACACTGTGTGCTTGTGTGCCACAACTCGTGTGGCCTGCTGAGCTGCTAACAGGCTGGCATGACGCCCTCTGGGCACTATGGCTGGCCGAGCTTGGGCTGGGCCCAGTGGTGTGGACAGCACCAGGATTTTCACACACTTTCAGGACTTCAGTGTGCTGTGCCCTGGCTTTGTGTAAGGGGCTTTTTACACGCCCATGGTTAAATGCAACTGCATTTAGGCTGTTTTAAGAATTGATGCTCCTTTAATATTGATGTGTTTATCTTCCTGTCCAAACTTGTCAATAAAAGGATAGATTTTTATAGTCTATCAAATATGGAATAATTGCTCATTCACGGGATTCGTTCCAGGACCCCTCTCTAAAACTGAAATCAGAGGATGCTCGGCGACTTATATAAAATGCCATTGTATTCGCATAGAACTTATACATCCCCCCATACTTTAAACTATCTCTAGATTACTTGTAATTTCCACTCCAGTATAAATGTTTTGTAAGCAGTTGTAATACTGTATGGCTCAGGAAACTGTGAGAAGTTAAAGGTATTAGAAACTTGAGACAAATATCTATTAAAATATTTCCAGTCTATGGTTGCATGTTTGAATGTGGATCCCTCAGATATGGAGTAGGAGTACCAGCTGTACATGTGTGTGTTAACTGTGGTCTGAGCAGGTAGAATACATGCAAAATGTGACCAGACTTGTGTCAGTTGTATGCTTTGTTGTTCCTACACCTTTTTCTGGGAGGAATGAACTACTGTATTCAGGGCAATGATAAGCCAAGCATTCTATAGTTCTCCTGAGCTTTGCCTATAGGGATCTGGGATCTGAGAGCCTCCTGAAAGCTGAGTCACTGTGAGGCCACACCCCTGCCGTGAGACCTTAGCCTTGGCTTGTGTTTCTGTCCTAGCAAAAAGCACCATATATTCACAGGCCTGAGATGAGATCCAGGCTGGGTGGTACCCAGCATGGCAGCCTGTTCCCAGCAAGGACACAGTGTGGTGGCAGCTGCTGTGTTTAATAAGGAATGGAAATAAAGCACTGTGCTAATTAAGTCCCACCCCTGCGAAGTCAGCTGTTACCAGCAGTGTGGAAGGGCTTTTCAAACTACCTGAGGCGAGATGTCTGGGCTTGGTGCTAGGCAGATGCTAACTGCAGGGAACTGAGAACCCTGGAGTAGGCTCAGCCTGTGCTGTTCCCTACAAGCTTTCAGTAGGTATCAGGGTCACAGTAATAGGCGGAAGATAAAGAGCCTGTGTCAGCGGCCATACCTCTGTGGACCCTACCTGATGTCATTACAGCTCACAGCTGGGCTACTGCCTCTGAGCCAAGTACCTTGCCCTTGGTACCTAATACTTTTTGGATGGTTAGGACACGGCTCGACCAGAAAACCTCCAGTCACACTTTGAAGGTATTGCCAGGACATGGGGTCTTCTGGCCTGACAAGAATCCTTCAGGGTCTCTATGTGGTTTAATTTTGATGATGTGACTTTAGCTAGGAGTATTGGGAAGGCACGTGTGTCAGCATCTGACTGCCCCAGATAAGCTGGCCCTGACTTTTTCCTTGGTGGTTGTGTATCTGAGCTGCTGTTTCCCACCCTTTTCAGCCCCCTGACTGAGTGATGAGGATGAAAACTTGGCTGACTAGACTCCTTATCATTTGTTTGCTCACAGCAAAAAGTATGGTTGTCGGCACGCTTTAGGGGTTACTTGCTTAAGGGAAACTTCACGATGTGTTCAAAGGAGAGTGGAGGCTGCTCTGCGTCAGACCAATCCCTACTGAGACCAGGGCCGACTGGGGCCTGGGCTTCCCAAATGTCATCCATATATTTTGGAATAGGATGTTGAGATGGGCTGCTACCTGAGGCTCATGGGATACATACCCAGTTTTCTGTTACCTGCACACCGTTTCCTCTTTAGTTGGTGCTCTGAGCTATCCTGACAGTGCCCTGACAATGTGCCTCTTACTTCCTGTCCCCATCCTAAAGACCCTTAACCTTTGCTACTTTCCTCTGTCCCTGTCCCAGGCACTGCAAGATCCTGTCCCCCAACACTCTACCTTTTGTTTTCAATGATTTCCACTCCATTTCTTTTTATCCCTTCAGAGAACCTCTGGTTTTCTACCATATTTCCTAAGACTAGGATCATCCCCTAGTCCCCTGGAGTATACAGGATAAAAGATATAAGGCTAGGACTGGAGAGATGACTCAGCAGTTAAAAGCACAGGCTGCTCTTTTGGAGGAACTAGATTCGAGTCCCAGCACCCACCTGGTGCCTCACAACCTTTTGTAACTTCGGTTCCAGGGGGATCCATAGCTGTGCCCTTTTTTGGCCTTTGTGAGTACTGCATTTCATGGTGCACATACGTATACATGCAGACCAAAAAAAACTCATGCAGATAATTTAATTTTTAAACATTCTAAAAAAAAAAAAGAAAAAGGAAAGAGAGAGAGAGATTCAGAGCTCATGGATTTGGTACCGCTTTCTCTGCACATATTCACTTGGACATACACATTATTGATCTCACAGCCAAAATAATCACTGGAATTTCAGGAATGGAGGGGAGAAGGGACTAAAGAGATTTTTTTTTTAAATTGTTGTCATCCTACAAGTAAGCAGTAAGAAATTCTCACCTGAGTCAGCACAGTGTTCTCTACCATGGCACACTGCCCGATGGGCAGATAGTAGCTTAAATCGGCCGACACAAGCCAGCAAGCGCACGCTGCTGTGACATACTTCTACACTATTAAGAGAAGTGCCTACAGAGCTAATAGGCCATCAACGTGCTCATAGGACCAATTCAACTCCTTAGCTTGAGCGAACAGAACTGCATCAGTCCCTCCTGGAAGGGTTTCAGCACGAGAATATCTGGGGGCTGAGGAGATTGGCTGGACAGTGTTGAGGGGGCGCTGTTGTTGCAGGGGACCTGAGTTTGACTCCTAACACCCATGCTGGGCCATTCACAGCTGCTTGCAATTCCAGTTCCAGCAGAATCTGTTACCTCTGACCCCCGTTGGCATGAGCATGTGTGTGCGTAAACACACACACACATAATTAAAAAATAAACCTAAATAAATTAATACATTAAATTAAAAATAAAAATAAAGCTAATAAAAAAAGTGACGTCCATGTAGTCATATGTCCTTGAACACATGTAAGCCCTGAGTTTCTTTTGAGGATGTGCCCCAAATTAAATGTTTTTCCCCTGACCTCCTCTCCCTGCCCATGCTAAAGAAGGTTTTAGGAATGCCATGATTAAGGGCTTATCCAGGGACAGCGGCAAAGTAAGACACACACAAAAGGAGTGTGATCTTTAGTAAAGCTCATTATTTCTCAGGCCACGTCAGTTACAATCTACACACTTGCAAGAACCAACATTCCCCCTCTTTTAGCTCAGTGTCCAGAAACTGCCCTTGGCATGTCCTTGCCTCTCCAGCGCTTCACTCACAATTTTGATTTGTGTCTTTCACTATTGCTGGATATTTTTAACATTATAAATGAGCAAGATGCCTCGGATTGTCTTCTTATCCCTACCATAGCCAAAATACATTGCCGTTTTCTCTCCATGCACATGATGTCTTGTGTGTGGGCCTTTTTGTCTCTGAGTTCTGCGCCTCTGTTTGGCTCCAGTGCCTCCTAGCTTTGACTGGCACACAGGAAATCATCCACCACTGAGAAGCTGTGACATCATTGGCCTTCGTGCCCTGTTTGCACTGGCCACTTGGATACACCTCATTCACGACATGCAAGCACAGCTGCAGGATGGACACAGGGACATATCTCAGAGGGGGAGCTCCTGCCCATCACAGTTTTTCTCCCCATCTCCACACAGCATTTTGCTGTTGTTTATCCGTTTGGCAGCAGCCTTTCCTCCTGTGGTCACCCCGTAAGGCCAGACCACGCAGCTCCGTGCCTCTGTGTCTCGACTTTTCTTCTGTCACTCTGCCTCCTTTGCTAGGAATCAAGTTCTGGCTGGGACTGACTGCCAGAGACCACTGGAGTGCATGTCAGCCCACACACTCACAATACAACAAAGCAACTCCACTTTTTCTTCTAGGGAATTTGGTGGGGTTCCTTTTTGTATTGCAGAAGTGAGAAAACCCATTAATTTTGAAACAAATGTATGCAAATACATTTATTAATATAGGAAATAGGAAAATCAGTTATTGCTTCCTTTATAAATAATACAGGCTTAAGTTTTAAAGATATTACTTTTGCTAAAATGCATTAGACAGCTGTGAAAAAAATAACATTTTTCTTTGTGGTAATATCTTTAACCAGATTTGTAGCACTAACAATATTTCCTATGTATATATTATTTTTATTTAATACAGGTAATCTTTTTATTACCAAATCATATTGTTTCTCAAGAGATTACCATCAGCACTTATAAAAGCTGCAAAAGGAAAAATGGGACCAGGAAAAGACATCAATCTCTCACGATGTGAGGTTCAGGCTGCAGATTAAATACACAAAGCTCTTAATACATTTCAATGAGCGACTCTTTAGGTGCAGATTTATTTAGATTTCCCCCACTTCATTTCCATTTGATACTGGACGGAGACTTCTAATCTTAACACAGAGCAAAGTGACCTGGGAGGGGCCACATCTTCAAGCTGTGCATTATGGTTGAGACCTCATGGGGACCAGGGTATCTTAGTGTTCCTGTCCCAGGGCAGAAAATGACCTGTGGCTTACAATGGATCAACACCTTTGGCTCAGGAAATGAGCCACCCAGTCCTTGTCTGCTGGGTTACCCAGGGGTGACACAGCTTAGCTCTGTACCAGGTCCTCCTCTCCCAGAAATGCTGAGTTCTCTTCAGCCGTCAGCCCCAACACAGTAGGCCAATTTGTACCAGTTCCAGAGATTTCCTTAGGACCTGGCAGGGGCAAAGCATGCCTTTTGCGGTTGCACCCATGGGTCGGCCCCAGCCTGGCATTCACTGCTTTGATAGCCTTGGGAAAGTCAGTGCACCTTGAGCGTCAGTTTTCTGGTCTGCAGCATGGAACTGCCAGCTCATTCCTGACTTCAGACCGCGTTCCTCCGAGACTGAATGGCTAGAGGGCGACACACAAATGTGGCTGAACATGTCGCTTTTTCTCCCACAGGGTGGAAGCTTTGATGTGGCTGATAGAATGTTCCACAGTGTAAAGAGCACGTGGGAGTCCGCCTCCAAAGAGAACATGAGTGATGTCAGGGAGCTGACGCCTGAATTCTTCTACCTGCCTGAATTTTTAACCAACTGCAATGCAGTGGAGTTTGGTGAGTAGAGACATTGAGAAAACCTGATGAGCCTGGGGTCAGAGAGCTTGGGATTTCTCCTGTTGGCCTCCAGGGAAACACTCATTTCAGCAGTCTTTTTTGCTGTAAAACTCATGTGGCCTTTCATAGGTACAGTTCAGAGGAGGTGGAAATCCCTGTTGGGAGACGGAACATTGTTGCAAAAGTGGCTTCCGAGGAAGGAAGCTGGGTCCAGGCTTCCAGGAGAGCACCAAATACCTACCTTGGGCAAGCGCCTTTTCCCTGGGATCCCACGGTTCCATGTGTAGTAAGATGGCACCCTGCTACCTAGAACTCTTTCTGACTATGTAGGGTTGCCTACCCTTGGAGCTCCTAACCTTGTGACCCACCAGCCCCATTTCTGGAGTGTCTGACTGCTGATGGCACATCCTCCTCTACCTCACAGCCCAGGATGTATCAGGCCTTCTTTCTGCTTCAGAGAAGAGAAGGCACAGAGGTTTACAGGGGCCTGGTGGGAACCTCTGGAGACTGTGCCTGTACCAGCCTCTCCTGGAAATGGCTGTGAGGGTAAAGTGGAGCAATGTGCTGAGGGGATGTGTGGGGAAACACAGAGCTGGAGCCAGGTGTAGGCAAACTCTCTAGCCAGGTCAGTAGATGCCGTAGGTGCTGTGGAAAGCACCTGGAGGCTGATAACAACATCCTTCAGGCCCATCCTTCCTTGCCCTCCCCCCTTTCCTTCAAGCCAGGACATGTGGTTTCCAGCCCTGGGCATGAGGCCACAGTGCTGTGGAGCGCTTGAAGCCTCTCCAATCCTGGTTCAGCTAGTCAGCCTGATCAGGGTCCTTGGTGAACTTGGCAGTATTCAGGTTCTCCTATGCCTTGTGACAGGCACTGGGCAGAACTGGATAGACACAGAGGACAATTCCCAGAGGGCATTGTGAGGCTCAGGATGGGAGGTAGAGGACAGGTATGACGAGGCTGAGGTGGAATACCATGCAGAGCGTTCCTCTGCCTAGGAATTACAGCTGTGCTCTCCAAGGAAGCTGTGACAGGCTTAGATGGAGTAATGGCGGGATCAGAGACAATCAGCTATCACTGAAGACAAGTGACCATGTAGCACCTACTGTGTGTAGGCAGCTTGGGTAGATGTGGCTTGTCCCAAAGACAGGTTCTACGTGAGGAAGCAGTGTGTAGATCTAAGTTAAAAGCAAATAAAGAAGTGGAACACTGCCGGGTGCTGCAAAGTCCTGTGAGGAAAACAGTCAGGACCATAGTTTGAGAGTGAATTGGAGAGAATTGTTAGTCTCCTCCCCAGGAAGAGCTGGAGCTGAGCTGAGTGATGAGAAAAAGGGGCCCAGCACAGCCAGAAAGCTTGAGACTAGAGGGAGATGTTATTTTATATGTTCCACAAGTGCTCTAGAGGGTTCAAGCAAGGCCATAGCAGCACAGCTGAGCGCTGGTCGTGGCTGGTATCATTTTGTGGGTGTTGTATGCTTGCTCTTCTCACCTCATGCCAGCCCTGCGTGGCTGTGTCAGCATCTTCACTCTTACAAGTGGAGAAACTGAGTCCCATAGAGGTCAAGTAGCTTGTTCAATGTTGGCAGCCGGTGGTCAGGGGAGACTTGGGCTGGGATCCAAGCTCCTCCTCATGCTGTCTGTGGACTATCCATCTATAACCCCAATATAATAGGTTAAAGACTTAGATGATATGTGCCTAGCATAGACCTGGGTGATGTGTGCTTGGGTTATCATCAGTGCCTTCTATTGGTTCAGTCCCCAGGGGAAAGCCTTGTTAGCAATGGGGAAGATTCACCAATAGTGATAATAGTAAGACCATGACTTGGAGATCTACCTCTGGAGTTGCCTGGGAAGCCAGGAGGCCCTCCTGAAGGATGCCAACTGTGGGGCCCAGCAGAGGAGGGCTGGGGCTCTAAGATAGAAGAGGCAGGAAGCAGTGTGGTCTGGTGGGACCCAGCTCACATTCTAACCTGCAAGGAGCTGGCAGTTGCAGACGAAACGGTTTTGACGTCCTTTGCTCTGGAAGCCAGCATGGCCTCGCTTATGCCTACTGTTTCCCTTAACACTCAGGTTGCATGCAGGATGGAACAACTATGGGGGACGTGCAGCTCCCTCCCTGGGCTGATGGCGACCCAAGGAAATTTATCAGCTTGCACAGACAGGTGAGACACTCCAGTCAACCCTGATGTGTACCTACATATTCCCCCCCCCATGTCCACCAATTTTTCTGTCTCACTGGTGGAGACCACCTTGAGGCTTTGCTATCTGGAGAAGGCAGAGAACGGACAGGGCCAGGGATGCTTGTGTTCCCGGATGTTTGAAGAACACCAGTTTGCTCCACGACTGTACTAGGCTGCCATGAAGTGGGCCTGGTGTTTCTCTGGTGGCATGTCAGTGTCCTCAGCAGCGCACTGGCAGGGCCACTCCAAGGACCTGCAGTTGTCCTCTGGCCTCTATATGTATGTATGTATATGTATGTATACATATATGTATATGTATGTATACCTATGAGCAGATCACACCCCCTCACACACACAGCGGCTTAACTTTGGAGAGCTGATGTTTTTAAACATGAGTTAGTATTTCACATCCTTTGGGCTTTGATTTCAGGCACTGGAAAGCGACTTCGTCAGTGGCAGCCTCCACCACTGGATAGACCTCATTTTTGGGTACAAGCAGCAGGGACCAGCTGCTGTAGAGGCAGTGAACACTTTCCACCCCTACTTCTATGGCGACAGGCTAAACCTCAGCAGCGTTAGTGACCCCCTGATCAAGAGCACCATTCTCGGGTTCATCAGCAACTTTGGACAGGTGCCTAAGCAGGTAGGTATGGCATTCATCTTACTTTATCAAGAGTGTGGGGAGCATACGCTTGGGAAAGAGAACAAAGATGTTCTATCCCGTTAGGAGTGAAGGTGGTGGTGGGAAGGGAGAATCATCCCCAGCCTTCAGAACGAAGGCCCTACCCACTTACCTCCTGAAGAGGGAAAATGGCACATTAACCTGGGACAAGTGCAATGTTTTCTGTAGCATATATGATGCTATGGCATTATTTTTATTTACTCTTGTTATTCCTAATAAGTTGAAACATCAAGTACCTGAAAGTGCTCTCCTAGGGACCTCCTTAACAGAGGCAGCTTTTGCCCGGGCAGCTTGAGAGAGAGGAGAATTGGCAACCGGAGAGCTTGTTTCATGACGTGGAGCCCCAGGCCCTCCATCTCGAACATCTGAGGACCCTGTAGAACCTTAAGTTCTGTTGGAGGAGGGCCAGCCCTGATAGCGCCCAGAGTAAGGTTACAGCTGTGCTGCACATGACAGCGCATCCCTAAGGCGTCTGCCTCCTAATGACCCGTGTGGTGTCTTGATATATCTCCAGATCTTCACTAAACCTCACCCATCCAGGAACAACACAGGAAAACCACCAGCACCTGGAAAGGATACCTCCACCCCCACAGGCCTTCCAGGCCACTCACTGTCCTGCCTTCACAGTCTACCAGCACTGAGACCCTCTCAAGTCACAGTCAAAGGTTAGTGCCTGGGCTTGCATTGTCTCAGGGATTTTTCTTTAGGGGCTGGGTTACTCTAGGACAGTGGTTCTCAAACATCCTAATGTTGAGACCCTTAAATACAGTTCCTCATGTTGTGGTAACCCACAACCACGAAATTATTTTGTGGCTGCTTCATAACTGTAATTTTGCTGCAGTTATGACTTGGACTATAAATATCTGATACACAGGACAGATGATAGGAGACCCCTGTGAAAGGGTTGCTTGATCACCTCCACTCCGAGCAGGGGTGACCCTCATGTTGAGAACTGCTGCTCTAGGAATTCAAGGGTTCAGGCTAGGGAAGAAATGGTTTTGCAATAACTATGTCTCCAAACTCAATGGGCACTGGAGGGTGCTCTGGAGGTGTCTAGGACTTAGAAGACCCACAGGCCTGTCTGTCTGTCTCTCTCTCTCTCTGTGTCTCTCTCTCACCCACACATCCTTCTCTCTTGCATATACATACAAGGACACGTTCCACACACCCTCCCTACAAATACAGACGACAGCCTCTGCACCTTTCTTGTTCTCAAGCACCCAGATGCATGTATGCACAGAGACGATAGCTGAGGACACGTGCCTTGGTTGGGTGCCTGTGAATCCCAGCCCTACCGCTTCATAGCTGTGTGAATTGTAGAGCTCTGGAAGAGGTGGTGGCTTTCTCATAACAGCTTGCACAGGGAAAGAGAGGGGCATTGGCCACTGGGATGGAGGGAAGGTCCCATGAACACAGTCTCCTCCCACATCATGCATACCAGTGCTGATATGCACACCCAGGAAGCATACTCTGAGAGGGGAGCATTATCTGCTCTTTCAAAGAGGGTTCTCAGCAAGGAAGAGGTAGACTTCCCTGGGGGATCAGGCTCGGGATATCAGTTGGTCATCAGCAAGCTGAACTGAGCTAGATTCCAGAGGGGGCTGGGAATGGCTTCCTGAGTTGAGCTGGTGAAACTATGGTAGGAGCTAGACCACGAGCCTGGGGTTTCTCCAAGGTAGTGCAGGAAGGGTAGGTGGACAGGGTCACTAAGCTTTATGGCTTTGGATCATCCGTTCCAACAGACCGTGTGGGCTTCTTCTGGTTGTATAAGAGCCACTGAAACCCGTGGGTCCCAGTTAGGGGAGGAGCTGGAAAAGGTGTGCTTAGGCTACTCCTAAGTGAGATGCAGCGGAGCCTCAGTGAGTGGCTCCGGGCCAGGCCATGTGCTTGGTGAAACTCCTCCTTCTGTGGCGTCTTCTCAGTGGGCCCAGTGAAAGCGGGTGCTTATCCTCACTGCATACACCACAATACTCACTGGGAGCAGATATGTACCTTTTCTCTCTAGGATCAGAGTCCCCAAAAGGGGCCATCGGCCACATTGTCCCTACTGAGAAGACTATCCTGGCGGTGGAGAAGAACAAGATGCTGCTGCCTCCTCTCTGGAACAGGACTTTCAGCTGGGGCTTTGATGACTTCAGTTGCTGCTTGGGGAACTATGGCTCTGACAAGGTGAGGGCTCGTGGTGGTGGGCAAGAGCAGCAGGGCTTAGAGGGTTTGGCCCTCTCCTACATGGACTTCAGGCCTGCAGAGCACGCTGTCACCTTGGCAGCCAACTCTGGTCACAGAGCTACACGAGGCTCCAGATGTGCATGCATTCTGGGTAGGAGTTCCTGGGCTCCCCTGACCCCAGGTACTCAGCAAAGAATGGCTCAGGCTGAACAGCTTGCAATAAGAAAATATCTCTCTCTCTCTCTCTCTTTCTCTCTCTCTCTCTCTCTCTCTCTCAATCTCTCTCTCTCTGCTGGATGTTCCCACATACCTTTCCAGTTGTCTCTGCTTTTTTCACAGACACCATCACTCAGACCCCCTCGTACTCTGCCCTGTTGTATAACCCCATGTTTCTAGTCCTTCTCTTTATAACCTTGCTCTACCAGCTGCTGGAGCCAGCCATCAAAACTAAGCCCCAAATTTCTCTTTCCCGCCCTAACACTGTCTCAGGCTGAGCTGCACCCCACTCCCTCTCACCACACTCCAAGGGTTTTTGCCGGCTGGGGATGGGTCTGGGATGGTCTAGATTCAGTCACCTGAGCCTGGCTGTAGAGCCTAGAACATGGCCTCCATTCCCTGGGTACCCCGGGCTCACCTATGTACTCCCTATTTCTCTGACCTGGCTTTCTCTGTATCTGCCGTGTCGGCTTTCTTTATCCACCTCTCACAGATCCTGATGACGTTTGAGAACCTGGCTGCCTGGGGCCCGTGTCTGTGTGCTGTATGCCCATCCCCTACAATGATTGTCACATCCGGGGCCAGTACAGTGGTGTGCGTGTGGGACCTCAGCCTGGTCAAAGGCCGCCCGAGAGGCTTGCAACTCCGAAAGGTATGTGCCTCTCACAGGTGTGGTGTCTCCGGTAGCCACAGTGCTGAAGCACACCCAGACTTACTGTTAGAGAAAAGTCTTGTCTGTCTCAGAGCATGGGACAGAGGAGCAGACGGCAGTCCACGGCTCCGTCGTTTGGGAATGGTTTCAATCCGTGGGTAGACCTGCTGAGCAGACAGAACGGCACCCTCTGTGGAGGCCCCACCACCATGCCGTGCGTGGTTCTGGGTATCTGCAGCGGCTTCTATATACCTCAGGGCTGGAGCCGTCAGTCTCCTGGGCCAGGCGGTGCTGTGGGGCGTTTGCTCCGGATGGCGGCCTACATCGCTTTCACAAGCACCACCTCACTTCACCTTCTAACAGCCCAGGAAAGGAGAACCATTACCACCCCCATAGCCTTGGTTAAAAACAAAAAAGTTACAAAGAGACTAAGTGGCTCCTCCAAGTTCATAGCTCCAGAAAATGGAACTTTTCAGAATGAAGCTGATACCACAGAGGTCCATAGCAGCCCGGGACCAGAGACTCCAGACAGAAAGGGTCTGTCCTTGACCTGTATTCCTAAAGGTCATCATAAAATAGGTTCAAAACAGTTCACAATGTGTTTATTTTTAAAGATGTGAAACATTAACCACAATTTAAAATTCACTTTAAAAATAATAAATTATCTGCTTTCCTTATAAAAAAATTTATTTCTGCATACTACCCACCCCTATATGCATATTTATACCTGCCTGAGTTTTATACAGACATTTTTGTTCCATTTCAGCCAGCTTATCAAATTGTTTTCATTTTTCTACAGCCTCTATAATTTGCATTTCAATTGTTCCAGATGATTCCATTTCCATAAAATTACATTTCAATTGTTATGTCAGTGTTCCATGGTTTAATAAACCATTTCTTCTAAAACTAGACAATTAGGTTATTTCCAACTTTTAACCACTTTCAACAGTGCCACAAAAACGTGTTATATATATGTATGCTATTTGCTTCTGACTAATTGTTTCCTTATGATGTGTTTTGAGGAGAATTACTGAGCAATGACACAAAGTTTTCTGAAATTATGAAATTATTCTATAGCTCTCCAATGCCATCAGCAATTAATTGAGACTCACCACGGCAGGCAATCAGGGAGAATTATTTTGAGAGGTTTTATTTTATTGCATTGTATTTATATTTTGCCAGATATGAGATGATATAACAAAATTAATTGACTTGCATTCTACAAAGAAAAGAAAGGAAAGAAGGAAGGAAGGAAGGAAGGAAGGAAGGAAGGAAGGAAGGAAGGAAGGAAGGAAAAGAAAGAAAAAAGATCCCGTTGGGTGCTCATTTAGAACTGCTCGGCTCTGCCTTGATTTTCCTGCCTTTCCAGATGATAGGGCACTAGGTGCCTCCTGACATTGCAGTTTCTGGGCCAATGGGCGACAGCAAACCATGCCTATTTTGGCAGCACCATAGCCCTCTCTGTACAACGCAGGCTGACTTGATTCCATAACGCAGCCTCTACTGCCATTCAGGCTCAGAGTCATTCTCTCTGAGGCCCCTGACATAGGGTTTAGCTGTGTTCTTTGGAGCTGTTATGTCAGTGGTCAGAACCTAATCATCATATTCAGGTCATTCTGGAAGATTGATGAATTCTTATCAGCCTCTCTCTCTTTCTGCTTATTTTTATGCTTTTGAGACTATTCAAATCTTCTTCAATGGGTCGTGTCTAGGGATTTGCCACCACCACCTCGATGGTGTCACATTAGGATCCATCGAGGACGAACAGAAACTTGTGGCAAAATTTTTAATAGCTGTAGACAGGCAAAATGACAACTTTGAAAATGGTGTTCAGTCTCATTGACCCAAGTGAGTGAGAAGTTTGTCTCTGCAAGGATTGAAGCTCTATCCATGGTTGAGCCAGGCAAGTCCCTTTCAGGGTGCCCACCTCTCCACCCTTCTCATTGATCACAGGGAATGACAGGCATATTCAGACAAAGGACCACCTTCGGCTTTCTGGGCACCCTCTGGGATGCTCAGGATGAAATCTTCACCATAGCCAGGAGCACTGGACCCCTTAAGATGTCGAAAGAACTGTCTTCACACCCACCCATGATTCAAGGTTGAAGGCCAAGAACAAGTGCCCAAGACACCAAGGTCATGCTCTCATAGCCACAGGTCTCAAACAGTCACGTTTTATGTGCGAGAGATAACTGAGGAGGTAAAGGTGCTCATTGCCAAGCCTGTCACCTGAATCTAATTGAGATCTTTCATCAGACCCGGTGGCTCATGCTGATCATGCTAGCATTGTAATCCCAGTTTGGGCAGGAGGCTGATGAGTTCAAGGATGGCTTAGGCTATATTGTCAAAAGCCCTTTCTCAGTACAAAACAACAAAAGGTTTTCCATAATGACCCACTTGCAGTCTTTCTTCCCAGTCTCGTGCAAGAACTGCTTGGTTTCTGAGTCTCCCTCCTGTAGTGTAATACACCTCCAGCTTCAGTGTGCAGGAGACTTCTTGGATGGGGTAGTGGTGAATATGCAGATTCCAGGGTGCCAGATCCAGAGTTTCTGATTTAGCAGACTAGCCGCATATCCACTAAGGCCCCCAGATCTGCTGAGGCTGCTGGCCTGGACATGTACTTTGCCGTTTGAAAGCTTTGCATACTAACAGTGCTAAGGGACTGCTTCAGATCTGAGGATAACAGAAGGAGAGGACAAAGCATAAGGGCACTCTGGGCCCCTGGCTGGAGTACTACAGAGGAACTATTGATTCTCCCCAGATAGGCCTCAGATTCTAGAGGTGGATGCCTCAAGAGGCAACACATAATTGCCCCCCGCCACCACACACACACACACACACTTGTCTGTAAAATCACTGATACATTCTGAATCTCTGGTTCCTCATCTGGTTCCCAGAAACAAAGGCAGCCTGCCAGCAGCCATACTGGGAGGGCCTCTTACAACCCCCGGTTATGTCTCTTGTTCCTAGGCCCTGTATGGACACACCCAGGCTGTCACATGTCTGGCAGCCTCGGTCACCTTCAGCCTCCTGGTGAGTGGCTCCCAAGATCGCACCTGTATCCTGTGGGACCTGGACGACCTCTCTCGTGTGGCCTGCTTGCCTGTGCACCGGGAAGGCATCTCAGCCATTGCCATCAGTGATGTCTCGGTGAGACCTGCTTCATTTTCCCACCTCTGGGCCCACTTCCTGTGTCTCTGAGCCTGCCCAGTAGTATGTTGAACAGTGCTGCAAAAAAGAAGTCAGGGACAGACATATTTTGCTCACTCCCAAATGTGGGCGGAGGACCTATGTGCGCCTACCATCCCCTGCCAAAAGAAAGCAGGGCACGAGGAGGCCTTTGCTCTGGTATTTGCACAGCAAGGGTGGGACATTCTGGAAGGACATCACAGAGTTCTATGAGCCACTTGCTGTCACTGGCACCTCTTATGCTGTCATCCTCCTGATGGAATCCAAATTTCTTCATGGAAGCAGTGTTGTGGGCAGCCAGTTGAAGGTCCCTTATCCAGAGACAGGGAAAGTCTTTAAACTTTGTCTTCTCTGGAAGCCAAGATATCATTAGAAATCAGGATCATGGAGAAGCCCAAAGCCTGGGCCAGTGTCCTAAAGCACAGACTTATCTTGGCTAAGCATTTGAGAAGTTTCAGTCTCTGCTCAAGTGACTCCATTGCCAGGGACCCGAGTCAAGGCAGAAAACACATAGAAGGGGCATGATGGGGCAGAGCTGCTCATGTCTCCAGGAAAAGAGAGTACTCATAGAGGGCAGAGCCAAGATACACCCTTAAAAGGTGTGCCCCCATTGACCTGTTTCTTCCAACCTGGACAAACCTAGTTTCCACCATGTCTCAACAATACCATCAAACGATGAATGTACAAGTAGGGTGATGAGATTAGAAGCCCTGTAGAAGATATGAGATTGGGTGCTTGGTGAGCAGACTGGGTGACTGAGCATGTGCTGTGTAAGCCGCTGGTGAGTGTTGCATGGAATCACGCCAGCCCTCATTGTTGCAGGGAACCATTGTCTCCTGCGCCGGGGCCCATCTGTCCCTGTGGAATGTCAATGGACAACCCCTGGCCAGCATTACCACAGCTTGGGGCCCAGAAGGAAGCATAACATGCTGCTGCATAGTAGAGGGGCCGGTGTGGGATGCAAGCCACGTCATTGTCACAGGCAGTAAGGATGGCATGGTTCGGGTAAGTGTGTTTTGGGGCAGAATGAGTACGCAGCATGATAACAGTGTTATCTTATTTTTTCAATTCCTCCATGTGCCACGTACCGTATGTGGAATTTGAAAATATCCCATGCCAGATACCTCGAGCAAATCAGGGGAAAGGTGGTGTTTTTTAATGAAGAAAAAAGAAAATGAGAGAGGAGGCATGTTACATACACATATAAACAGAGAAGCCCTGCCTCAAAAACCAAATATAATAATAATAACAATAATAATAATAATACTATAAAAATAAAAAGAATGGGGAGGCATTAATTAACTCAGTGATGATATGATAGATGGACTGTGGGGTTTAAGGTTAGATAAGGCAGAGGGGGAATTAGAGAGATGGCTTAATGGCTTAAATACATGTTGCTCGGGCATGAAGACCTGAATTCAGGTCTCCAGCACCAGTAAAATCTGGTTATTTTTTAAAGTGGTTTGTGTGTGAAATCCGGGCATTAGGAGGTGGTGACAGGAGCTTGCTAATGAGCCAGTCTAGATGAAATGGTAAGTGCTTCAGTGAGAGATCCTGTAACCAAACATAAGATGGAGAATGAAAATTAGACCACACACGAATGCACGCTCACATGCATGCAGCACGCACGCGCAAACACACACACAAAGAATCGATAAAGGCTTATATAATCGGGAAGGAGGAGATCCACCTAGGAGACTCAGGGAACACGGGGTGCCGTGGCAGTGGCTCACTCCTTTAATCCCAGCACTCAGGGAAACAGAAGCAGGTAGATCTCTGTGAGTTCAAGGCCAGCCTGGTCTACAAAGTGAGTCCAGGACAGCCAAGGCTAGAAAGAGAAACCCTGTCTTGAAAGAGAAAACAAAACAAAAGTCTCAGGGAAGAGAATGAATGAAGCCTTCTAAACTGCAATTGTTTGGGTTTTTATTTAATTTTATTTTATTAATTACACTTTATTCACTTTGTATCCCCCCCATAAGCCCCTCCCTCTTCCCCTCCCAGTCCCACCCTCCCTCCTCCTTCTTCACGCATGCCCCTCCCCAAGTCCACTGATAGGGGAGAGGCAATTGTTATAGCCTGAAACACCACTAGGGGAGCTGAAACCTAAACACCCTTTTCCTTATGATAACAGCAGAAATGAATGCTCAGGGCCTCTCCCCATCCACCAGGGCCCCCCAGGTGTGAGCGAGTAGGCATGGACCACCCTGACCCTGAAGACAGGGTAATTCAGATAGGCCATGACATGTTCTTTTTTTCTGGACAGATTTGGAAGACAGAGGACGTGAAGATGTCTGTTCCCAGGCAGGCGGTCACAGAGGAGCCCTCCACTGAGCCCCTAAGCCCCAGAGGTACCTGCCTGAGGAGCTTGATTCACACGGCCTTCTGTCCTCCTCTCTCCCTACCTCCGCACCAGAGCTGCAGCTCCACCCAGACATCAGAGCTCAGAGAAGAGCCTGAAGCTCTGGAAAGTGCTGCCAGGGGACTATATTTGTTACTTTTGCATTCTGTGGTCCCACACCGGGCAGGAAGCACTGCTCAGGGGCAGGAAGGCTGACTGTGACTCCTGGTTCCAGACCCTTCAGCATGGAGTTGGGAGTGACTCCACCCGTGACGGCGGAAGTGTGACACGGCAGGTGTTTCCATGCATCAGAGCAGGGAGCAGAGGACTAGACCAGGACCAGAGTTGTGTGACCCTGGCAGATGCAATCCTCACGACATGTTTCTGTCAAACAGTCCCCACCCCTTCCAGGCTCCATAGCCTTTAAAACAGCGCTACAGGCTGGAGTCAGGGCGTTATAAACAAGCCTGCTCCAGACCATGACAGGGGCCATCAGAGAATAGTTTGTGTCCTGCAAGTATCGGGTGCCCTAGGAAGCAGTTCTGTAGAGTCCTTCATTGGGCTCTGTAGTGCTCATTAGACAAGTAGAATTCGGTGGATGTCAGGGCCCCGGGGCTTTAGGAGGTATAGATGCCTTCATGTTCTCCTTTGGTGCTCTCCGATGGTCCTGCCACAACCCAGGACCTGAATACAGCTGGCTAATTACCTGGGAAGCCAGCAGAAGAGAGGGGATGCTCCCCCAATGAGGAGGAGGGAGATCTAGAATTCCTCAGATACTATCCCTCATTATGGCACTCAGCAAGGGGTTTACTCTAAAGGTACTTCCCCACCCTGAGACTCATCCCAACCCACTGAAAAAGCTCAGAGTGCCTGGGCTGGACTGTCACATACATTCCCAGGTGATAGGCACAAACCCAAGAAGACCACCATACTATGGCAAAGCCCTCTTCTCCTGTGGCCAGTGCAAAATCCTCCTGCCATCGCCACAACCAGGCTGCCACAGGGCTAAGATGTCAAGAGCAGGAGACATTTGGCCAAAACCCTTCTCATGCACCCCTCCAATCTCACTGCAATCCGGAACAGGAAAGTTTACCGAGCTGCCCATCTTAGCGATGAGGAAACCCAGGCACAGAGACTCAGTAACTCAGTTATCCAAAGCTTGCCACCGTGATTGCTCCTGCCACGGCAGCAGGTACAGCAATCCTGCCCTCAAGTACAACCACATGACCACTCTCCCCATCCCCTCTGCTACAAACATGGTGCTACAAACAAAAAAGCAACCTCAGAGGGATGCTTTGGACATAGAGTGGCCATTAACAATTAGCTTACCTCTTTCGCATGTTTTGTCTGCTGAGGCTCTACTGTGTCCTGCATTCAGTTTATACGGAGAATCCCTGCCTCCAGCACTTCCAGGAATTTATCAGGAATTTGGGTTGAGTCGGAGCATAAGCATCACAAGCCAAGAACAGTGTCCAGCCCAGTGTCCTGGTGCCTCGGAGTGCTTGGAGGCCACAAGGAGCCAGTCCATCTCAGTGTGAAGGAGTTCAGGACTGTGCACTGCGGAGTTCCGCAGAGAGCAGCAACCACACCCTCACTCCCACCCCCGGTTCTGTCCCCTGGGAGGATCCAGCTCAGGGACCCTTTTCCCTTGGCTAACACATACACAACACTAACTGTCATGATGGTCTCAGGATCAACTTCATGCCCAAAGGGATGAACTCAGCCCCTGACTTACAGATCCCAGTGCAGGGCAATGGACCCCCAGCTTCTGTTTGACACCAGCAGTGGTGGCCATGTGGTCTGTAGACCCAACTCCACCCCCACAGCTAGTGTAGCCCTGTTTCTTTTCTGCTCCATGAGAATACTTCCTGTGAGAAACAGCAGACAGGAATCCACTCCACAGAATTCATTCCTCGGACTCCCAAAAAATTCTTCTCTTTGAACACAGCGTTGATGACATTAGGGAAATTACAAGATGCTTTCTGACTGACAGGGAGTCCCAGGATCCACACCCGTCTCCTGCTGTCTGTCCTGACCTGAGGTTACTACTGCCCTTCGGAACTGACAGTCAGGATCAAGGTTACCATTAGGATGAAATGAAAAGGTGGTACATAAATAGTTAAAAAAAATGGGATGGAGCCTCTTCTAAAGTCAATGAATCTTAGAGCCACCGGAGGGCTCTAAGAAGAAGCATGATGCCCTAGTCATGCTGCTCAAAGCTGTTTTGTTGGAAAGGGATCAGGATTAGGCATGACACATGAGTATTTGCATATGTGTCCTATTGGTGGGTGTGTTATTACACCCGCTCACATGTCTTAAGGGGCAAGAAAGGAGGTCTGTAAACATACTGAGGATATGCATTGCAGGCAGTTGTAATCTAATTTCTGCCTGGAACTCATTTATTCATCATTTGTGGTAAGAACTGGCCCACTGGTGCATGGCTTGCTTCAGAAAGCAGCCCCTAGGTTCGGACCCAGGAAAAGCGTGATGTTTGGAGCTGTGCTAGGATTTCCAAGTGCCTGTCTGCATCTGTGAGCCACACTGTTCTCTCCTCATAGCCTCAAGAGTTCCCTGGTGCACTGGAGCTTCTGCACCCGTAGGTGGCCACTTCAGTGCCATCGGGGTGTATAAGAGCACTCAGGTCCCAAGACAACGAAGCGGTTGTCTCACAGGGACATGGCCACTTTCTGTCTCTCCCTTCACATTGAAGGAATTACTGTCTGTCTCCAAATGCAGTCATTAGAATGAGTGAGGTAACAATCATTGAGTTATATTTTTTTGAGAAAATTCTCTCAGCATTTAATTATTGGTTGGGCGTGAGAGGATTTAGCTAAGTTGATAATGCAGACTTTATGTAATTTATTTTTACTAGGCAATTACAGCCTGCATTACACCCTGGCAGCAAGGTATTGTGGGGCATCTTATTAAGCATAAAGCCAGTAAACACTGATGAACAATTTTGCTGAACTAGGCATGCAATTTAGAAAGCAATAATACACAAATCCAATTTGGTACACAATGGATACCGCGGCACGTCAGCACATGTAACTATCACAGCCTGCAAATTAAATTGGGACGGCCCTTTTTGCAACAGCACAGGCCAAGATTAAATATATTTTCCCCCTCAATTTAACAAGTTGCTGACCACAAATATAAATGTTTGTATCTGTGTGGTCCTATGTATGGGCGCACCCAGGCTGGTGCTGAAGCCACTGGGTGCTCTAACTTTTCGCTCTCATGCTTTCCACAGGTCACAAGTGGGCCAAGAACCTTGCCTTGAGCCGAGAGCTGGACGTCAGTGTTGCTTTGAGTGGCAAGCCCAGCAAGGCGAGCCCTGCTGTGACAGCTCTGGCTGTAACGAGGTAAGAACAGCCTGCTTCCTCCAGGACTCCAGCAGAGGGCGCTACAGCCAATTTAGCCAAGTCCCAGCGTTTCCAGCTGCGTTCAGATGATCAGACCCAGCAAAGTCACAACACTAAGGGGACCCAGGCAGACCTAGTCTTGTTGTTAATCCCCATATGCTCCTGCTCTCTATCTCATGAATATTCATAGATTCATGAAGAAATGAAAATGGGAGGGTCCCGCCAGTGATAGAAATGTGCTGATGATGACATCATTCATGAACAGAAAATGCTCTTTGAGGTCATTTAGTCAATGCAAAGTAGTCTCAAAGATGGCACTGGGTTCTTATTATTTTAGTTGTCATGGTGACCCAGTTAAGCCTTCTAGGGAGCTGCAGTTGCAAGAGCAGCTGACTTTTTACTCTTCTTACCCCTCTCACTGGCCTACAGTAGCCCTCTGAAGACCCTGGTGTAGGAAGTTCACAGTGTTCTGGATGCCAGGCTGGCCTATGTGGGATGGCATGGGGGAGGCAACCCGAGCTCTTTCCTGGAGCACATGACAATTGCTGGGCCTGGGCTGTGGCTGCAGCCCTCCTGGAGAGCTGCTCTCCCAGAGCTAATGCGGGAGAGATGAAGGAGGGCCTCAGCCCGCTCCTCAGCGCCCAGCGCTTCAGGACCTGCAATAGTCACCATGAAAACCCCCCTCCCCACCCTCAGGTCCACCCAGAGTTCATGTCTCCCACTCCCTCCCTCCGATTCACAGGGGACAGGACATGGACAGTTGCACTGATTTCCCGAGTGCTGGCAGGGATATGTGGGTCTCCTGCCATGGCCTCCAATGCTCTTATCTTTTCTTTTCCTTCTCAAGAAACCAGACCAAGCTCTTGGTTGGCGACGAGAAGGGGAGAATCTTCTGCTGGTCTGCTGAAGCGTAGGAGGAAGCACGTGCTAGAGGCACCGGCATCAAAGCTGAGTGCCCTGGGGTCGACAGCAACAGGCCACAGGCATTAAAGGATGTGCAGCCTGGGCTCTGTACCTAGAGCAAGCTTTTGGGGGCTCCCTTCCCCACAGTTCTCAAGGAGTCCCTGATAATTTGCTCTGTGTACCCCAAACATCTCTGTGCTCCACAAGACTTCTGTATAAAGGATCCTGGGAGACACTGCTGCTGGAAACTGACCGGCTGATGACAAGCCACACAAAAAAATGTACAGGCGACTCATCTTACCAAAGCTTATTGCACTGGAGAAGCAAAGGGGTTGGGTATTGGCTCATGGAAACCACTCTGTTATCTTTATTTTATTAAAATATCGTTTTCCAAATGGAAGGCTGCTTGAGCATCACCTTGCCTGGTGTCATCTGAATTCTTACAAGTCAGCAAGGCCACACAGAGTGGGCGGTGTTGCTGAGCAGCCTGCGTGCCTACGTGATGGTCAACCTGGCCCAGACACAGGAGAATCAGGTAGGGCCATACACCCAGGCCTGGGGTTTCCCACATCCCAAATTTACAATAAAAGCAAGTGGTGGTTCCCAGCCAGGTCCTGCCTTGGTCCACTTGTCCCACTGTTCATTGCTACCTGGAGATCAAATGTCCCCATCCGTCATGTTGATTTTTAGGTGTTGCTCATCTTGAAGATGTATTGAATGGAATGAAACTCAGGTGGCTGCAGATTATGTAACCCCTCAGCTCCCTCAGCTCCAGTCCCCTGAAATTTACCCTCTAGTGCCCAGGTAGCGATGTGATGCCTCCTCATGTTTCTCCAAGCCTGACGAGGCTCTGGAGGCTCTGTCTTCATTCCACTCAACCCAGGCCTAGGGGTGGTAGGAAAATGAACTTGGTTTCTGATGCCCCTGGATCACTTCACTCTAAAGGAATAGTGAGTCGACTTAAAGATAAATATGAAGGAAGGAGAGACAGTATGTGGTCAAGTCAAAAGGGCACAGAAAAAGATCATAGTTAGAGCATCCTGATTTGTCTGAGAACTTCTAGGCTTATCGAAGAGGAAGCTGGGGGAGGAGCCAATTCTTGGGTCCAGGACACCCCTCCCTGGATGGGAAGGGCTCTTGTCTGACCTTGGGGTCAAGGATCATGTCACCTCCCACATCATCTGCATTTACTATTAGCAGACAGTCCATTTGCAACCTCTTGTCCGGCTCGGACTGCGCTGGAGGGCTATAAATATGATAGCAGAGAGCACTGCTCCCCAGGAAGGCCAAGAAGCATGCCATAAATATCAGGGCTGGGCCGGCTGTCATTTTTCAAAACACAATCTATAGCATTTATTCAGGGCGGAAAGGCCTGCTAGTCAAAGGTCTGCCTTCAGTTCACTCATTCCATAAGAGGTTTTGTTTTGTTTTGTTTTGTTTGTTTGTTTTTTCCTTTCATTTGCCCAATATCAAATGGTCCTGGGCTTTAGAGCCTCTTGCTGAGTCTACACTCCAAGAGGAAAATGAGACAAGTTTGGGTCTTCATGCTAGAATCTAAGAGCTGAGCTGTGAATGCAAACAAACGGGACTTGAGGTGAATGAGAGAACAAAAGATATCTGATACCACAGGGTAGGCACAGGTGACATTCTGGCTTCCTGTTTGCTCAGGCCTCTATAAGAGTACCACACACTGGGTGGCTGAAGTATCAGAAATTTATTTCATAATTATTGGGGTTGGAAGCCAAAAACCAAGGTAGAAACAGGCCCAGTTCCTTCTGGGCCTCTCTGTTTGGCTTAGAGATGGCTCTTTTTCCTGTGTCCTGCATTCTTCTGTGGCCTTCCCACTGTGTGTCTGTACCTTGTTATAGTCTTAAAACTATATCAGTTATAATCTATTAGCCCATTGCAAAGGCCCCAGGCATGTTGGGCTGCAGGAAGGAAGAACCAATGGACCAAAGCAGAAGCTGGTACTCTGATCCAGGGGATGGGGGTTAGTGAAGGGCAGCGTAAGTGAGAGTGAAGAGCTAAGATGGCCGTCTTCCCCAGGGAGCAGACCCCCCAAGAGTCAGTTAGGCAATGGCTGTGTGGCAAGTGGGTGGACCATGGTAGCAGCTGGTCCAGAGTTGTGGCCCCAATAGTGACAAGCTTGAGTGCCACCAGCAGGTCCTGCCATGTGTGTTGGAGGAGACCTGTGGGGGTGTCACGTGCAGGACTAGGATGTGGCCAGGGGAGGATGGATGCTGAGGCATCCAGGAGCTGATGGAGGTACCGTAAGGTCGGGGACAGGCTGCAGGTGGAGACAGCACTGTGGAGGAGAATGGATGGACAAACTGACCACTGCCGTGTTTGGTGACACATGACAATGGGGTCTTGTGTGCATGTTACTGCTTTGTACTCACCCAGAAGAGGACACACATGTCCCTGAACTCTGGAAGATGAGTTTGCACTGCAGGCTCTTGAAGCTTCAGCATCAGAGCCTTCTGGGTTAAGGTCAGGGCTACAAACAGCACAGCAGAGCTGGGAATAGGTAGAGAATCCCTGATCCAGTAGAGGCTGAGACCAGGCATTTACAACAGCTTTGGCTGGAGGCTCTGCTGGCCTCTGGAACTCAGTCATTAAGCCAGATGGTGCTAGGGGCCTTGGCCTGATGGAGGGAAGACAGGGCAGAGGCCTAGGAATGGATGAGAGGGAGCTGATTTGGCATCACACCCACAACTGCGGGACAGATGTTTCTGGCAGGGCAGAAACATCAGCTGCTGGATGACAAGGAGAGAGGACCACACAGATTCCTGGTGCCGTGCGACTGCTTGAGCAGGGTCCAAAACAAACCTTTAGGCAAGGGTGGTACTTGAGCCTGAGATAGAAAGGTAGGTCTATTAAGCAAGTGGGTGACAGAAACTGGGATCATTTATTCCTAGTCTCTACTTCCTGCCAACTTCAGCTTGTTTCTGTATCTGTAAAACAGGACCCTGGTGTCTGTCTTGGGACTTGTCATGAGATTGAAATAGTTCTCAGTGTATAATAAAATGATAGAATATAGAGTAAGGCATATTATATGATATATTATTTATCATAAATATAATGAAATGCTAGGGGATGGAGCCAACCCAGGCTGACGTCCATGGCATGGTGCAAGCTTTCACTTTATCATGTGTCCTTCCACTTACTAGTGTGTCTTGCTGAGCCAGGCCCTGTGTTGTAGTTCCAGGGATGGAGCTCTGGGACAGTGCTGAGGAGAGGCACAGGAGGCAGGAGGCAACAGGGTGAGGAAAGCAAGTAGGCTGACTCCCCACGCTGCCTCTCAGGCAGCCGCAGCACTGTACACTGGACATTGCTGCTCCCAGAAGCACTCTGGGATGCAAGCCAGGCTCTCATGGTTCCTGACACCGGGCACAGAGGCCTCCCCGTCAAATAATGAGAAAACATGACAGGATGGGAGGAAGAGTCAGTCACCTCTGCCACCCAGCTGGCCAGCTGGCTTATGGTTCCAAAGCCTCTAAGGTCAGGGACCCCACATTTCACCAACTGTAATCTGCTCAGCTATGGAACAGCAGCTCTTGTTGGCTCTTGTACAGGTTAGCCACTTCATCAGAACTTCCTAAAACTATGACACCAGTTATGGACTCCCAGTGGCCCTCACCACAGTGATTTTGAGGCTCCTATTCATCCCACCGAGAGCCTCTGTTCTCCAGGGAAGGGTCGTCTCTGGTCACCTTCCCAGCAATTTGTTAGAGAATGCATACCCTGGGCATCATTTAGTCTGCTACATCCTGGGAGGAATGAGAAAAGGCAAGCTGTGCAGTTGGACTCATTCTAACTATAGTGCTAGCAGGGCTCACTGTAAAAGCAGGAGATCAGCATGATGGTGGGCACATGAGTCCTGGGAGCTGGCTTCCCCCAAAGGCTCAGGCCAGCCCCTTCCTTGCATCTGGACAGTCCTGGCTTTACCTGAGATGAACACATACCAATCAAGAATTCCTCATACTTGGGAGATTCTGTTTTAATCAGGCATCTTGTGTATTTGTAAATGAAGTTTCTGCCTGGACTGGGAGATGGCTATCAGGACTCTGTCGGTGACAAATGAATTGCCTGTATAGAGAAGACTGGCATTTAATGGCGGAAACTCAGAAAGGGCCCATGAGATCTTAGTGCCATCAAATTACGGAGACTTCCAGGTTTTTCTGGCAATCTTTAGGGGGCCATGGCCTCCTGATCTACACTGGCCCTATCTTTTGTTTCTTCATGCTCCAGATGAGAAGCTCAGGCCCTGGAAGGGACAGTTACTGCCTGCACCAAGTCAGCAGCAGGAACCAGTGTGGAGAACCCAGTCGTGGTGACTGCAAAGAACTCAGAGATTAGATTTGCCCATATTAGAATGCAGCAAGGCAGGGCACATTTGGGGAGGGAGAAGCTCCAGATGAAAATTGCTTAGCATAAAAATCAAATCTCTCTGAACCCAGATCAGCTTTCTGTAAGTAAGTTCTTGGATATATCACATGTCACACCGAGGTAGCGGTGTGTTTGTGCAGGGGTGCGTGTACTCACCTGCGTGTGTGTGCATATGTGTGTGTGTGTGTGTGTGTGTGCATGCATTGTTTTCAATTTCTCTCTTATGAAATGTTGCCTGAAGCACTTTATTAACCTCCATAGTAAGCAGAAGGATACTACAAATTACCTCCTACCCCCAAGTTCCTGGAGGTTCGGAGAACACTTGTGTTTGCCTTGAGCTGAGATTTGACGGCCCCCAAATTGTTGTATTCTGTGACACCCCTTGTCTAAGACTCTTTGCTGCCTTTTGCCAGGAATGCATCACAGAAGTTTTCCCAAGTCCACAGTGACGGGAAAGGGCAATGAGCCACCCCACCAGTGCCATAAAATGATGCTTTGCAGCCTGAGGTCTGCACAGCATTAGACACGGAGAGGTCCTCATTGACACAGTGATGATGTCACCACCCACTGAAGCACTTGGTAAGCCATGCAGTCATGCGCTCACCTGCCTTGTGTAGGGTCCATTGAGTAGATAGTCTATGCCAAGCTGAGAGACTAAAGAGAAAGGGCTGGGTCCAGGCACAGATGCCTGACACACAGCCCCTCAAAATCTGTGGCTGCTGTGGGTCACGCCAAACCTCCAGCTTTGTCACTTCACACACGCAGAGAAGGACAGGCCTTGCTTAAGGTTAGCCCACTGGACTAACACAGGACTAGACAGAGACAGAACTGGCTGAGGCTCAAGCCCACCATGCCTCCTGCGGTATACAGAAGTCACAGACCACGAGTAGAGGGAAATCCAAAATTCTGCACCTAGATTCTGGAGCCTCAGCACTGCATCAAGAATGGCTGTCCCTCTTTTGCCCACTTTGGGGACCCTTGGTTCCCTCTTTCAATCTTGATATGATGGGAGGTGTTTAGTCTTATG